TCCTCATCATCATCCTTCTTCTTCTTCTTCTTCTTCTTCTTCTTCTTCTTCTGCTTCTGCTTATTATTATTATTATTATAAGATTGCTTTATCTTCTTTTTCCTTTTCTCCTAATTCTTCTAAGTGTGCTTTATCATCTTCTAATTTTTCTTCTTCTTTTTCTTCTTCTAATCCTCATAAGTCTTCTTCTTATTATTATTCTCTTCTTCTTCTTCTTCTTCCTCTTCTTCTTCTTCTTCTTCTAATAATAATAATAATAATAATAATAATTAAACATTTATAGAAATTTTCACCTGGGACTTAAAGTTAATGTTCTTTCTTCAGGAGTTATTGCGAATATTCCATTGGATGTTTCATTGATAACAGTATTTTTCAAAAGTTTGTGTAGAGAATAATATTAAACTTGCATAACTTTCATATAATCCTCTCGATTCCCTTTTACTTCTCCCCACGAGTCCTTTGTATCTTTATATCCGGCAATAAGATCGGGAGGTTTTGAGGAGCGTAAAACCGCCTCTTAATTGTTGCTGTTCCAAGAGCTACCTTGACCCGGGGTGGTAGCACCAGTTTGGGTCGAGGCTGTGGGCAAATAGTAAACCAGAAAAGTAAGCGCTATAAAAGTATAAAAATACATTTTATAGTAAAAATGGCAGAAACACACTTTTTTATATAAAAGAGGACCAAAGATACATAATTATAGTAAAATGACCAACAATACATTTTAAAACAAGATAACTAACAATACATTTTATATGTAGTAGAAAGTACACAATTGTATTCAAAATATATTTAGTTGAAGCGATAAAATAGTGTTCAGATTATTTCGATTATGGCATTAAATAACCCATAGAAGTGTTGATATGCCGTAAACAAAATCAAACAACTGACTTCTCCCCGCGACACACTCCTTTGGTTATTCGTTGACTTTATTTGAAAGAAATCATTATTCGGCATCCTGAACTGATGTTGTTCATTTTCATTATTTAGAGAAAGAGGACCAATAATATATTTTCCGTCCTAGGCTGGTTTCTCTCTTGAGGTTGCGACCCTTGATAAACCGCAAGATGGACGATATGAGATTAGATTTTCTAAAATGTATTTTATATGCTATATACAATAAAATATAATAAAATTGCTGGTAATAGTAAAGTAAAATTTCAAAATACATGAACAATTTAAATCGTTAATAATATTAATATCTGAAATTTACATTACATCCGCAAGTAAAATTGCAATAGAAACAAGCAATAAATGCTTCATATTGTCTAGAAGTTAAAATTAATTCATCAGTTTTAATTTCAAGTTCATTATAATACAGTGTGATTGCAAAGTCTGGATACATTTGAAACAGCTCAAATTGGCCTTTCAGCTTGGTATATTCACTTCTGTTTCATCAGGATGAGGCTTATTTCACCACTTACGTTAGCGTCAACGAAAAATGGTTCCAACACAATCTACGTTAGCTTTGATTGTGCTGTCTGTGTATATTATTATTATTATTATTATTATTATTATTATTATTATTATCTTTGATTTCTGGCGTTTCTTTTCTCACATTTCTTTCCGGGTCCCGCCCAGGGACCTAAGGTTAGAAATGGCGTCATGACACTTTCCACTGACAAAAAAAAAAAAAAAAAATACATAGATAAAGCCCTTCGTAAAGTGTGGGCTGTACTTGTCAGAACAATTTTTTGTATCTCCTTGAGGCATGGACTTCCAGAAATCCCTTCAATTAGTCTACTGCAATCTTTTCCAACCAGTCCTAGGGCTCCAACTACAACAGGGATTGTTGATGTTCACATATGCCACATTTTCGAGATTTCTATTTCAAAGTCCTTGTATTTTGACAGCTTTTTGAATATCTTGGTCTGGGTAGTGTTCATACCTGTTTCTTTCAGTTTCCTTCCCGTGGAAGTTTCAGATTTTCCAGTGCAGATATTGGCCCACTCTGTCATGTCGGATTTTATATCAGTGGGTACCAACATCGTGCAACCTGATACAAGATGATCAATCGTTTCTGGATATTTATCACAGAATCTGCATTTTGGGCTGACACAATATTTTAGTATATGTGCTTGATAATTCCTAGTTAGCAAGCATTGGTCCTGCGCAGCAAGGATAAAACCTTCAGTTTCCGCTTTCAACCCTGCACTACGTAGCCACTGATGGGTACGGGTTTTGTCTACGTCAGCTTGTTTGGTACGGGAAGAATATTGGCCATGAAGCGGTTTATCTTGCCATCGCTTCTGTGTCTGGTCGGTTGCATTCGTCTTTGCTGTCTTTTTTAGCTATTTTGCAGTTTCAGCCGGTGTATTGTGCTGTAGTTGCATCTCTACGCCCATTTGAAACTCCATTTTGAATTTGTTGGCTTCTTTCATTACGGAGTAAAGACGCTTACTAATTTCATGTTCCTTGACGCATACCATCATCTAGTCTTCTGTAGTTTCCAAATATCTTTGGAGGCCAATTGTTGTAATTTTATAGGACAGTTCTAGTTGAACTAATCCTCTGCCTCTTTCGGATCTGGGCACATACAGACGATCGACATCAGCTTTGGGATGATGCATGTGATAGCAAGTGAGAAGCTTTCTCGTTTTGGCGTCCATTCGCTTAATTTCAGCTATGGTCCAGTTAAGGACATTAAAGCTGTATTGCACCACAGGGACAGCCAATGTGCTTATGGCTGATATCCTGTTTTTTGAGTTTAGCTCAGTATTTAGTACCAGACGTACACGCCTGTAGTACTCTTTTCTTATTTTTTCCTTCATTTGGGGGTGTTGTATGCCATCTCCTTCGCTAATTCCTAGGTACTTATAAGCTTCATCATGCTCCAGTTCCCTAATCTTTGTGACAAAATCTAAATCTATTAAGGGTGTTTCTGTAATTCTACCTTTCTTGAATGTTACTTTTGCACATTTATCTAATCCGAAGTCCATACCTATGTCGTCACTGAAGTATTTTACAATATTGAGGAGGCCTTTCAACTCATGTAGAGTAGATGATTGAATATTTTCTTATTTATTTTGTAACCATAGCTACTGTTGTTCAGTTCATGTGTAAGAGGGATTAAGGATAAACAAAACAGAAGGGGTGACAGAGAATCTCCTTGAAAGATTCCACGTCGGATACTCAGACGGTTGGATATGGCAGTGCCCCCAGTGTGACTAAGGTATAGTTTGGTGTTCCACATTCCCATGCTGTGCTTAAGGAAATTTAATACCACAGAGGAGACTTTGTACATTTCCAAAGTCTTAAGGATCCAGGAATGTGGAACACTATCAAAGGCTTTACGATAATCAATCCACGCTGCACTTAGATTTCTTTTTTATTATTATTATTATTATTATTATTATTATTATTATTGCTGTTGTTGTTTTTGAGACAACAAGTATTTTAAGGGAAAATGCAGGTAAGATGCCTTGCAATCAGGGAGAGACAAAATATCTAATTGTGGACATTGCATAGATTTAAGAATTACTTATGAGTGATATTTTCCATTTCATATATTTGTATAGGGTAGCAGGAATTGGGACACTACTTAAATACACTGTTCCACTGATAAAATATAGAGAAATTTGTGGGAAGGGGGGCCTCATTTGTAGATTATCAGTCTTTAGACCTTCCTTAGGCCGTGACACTTGTGAAAATAAAAAAAAATATTGATCCACTATGGATTTAGAAGGGGGTCCTGTTTATAATATCGATCCAGTGTGAAATCGATCCCTGACTTTTACAGAGTTATTGGCATTAATCTGACTTAGCTGTTATTTATAAATGCTAAGTTTGAAACTATACTAACGTAATTGAAATTTGCATTTTTTCTGAATTATTCTAACATTTTTTGCCTATTTTCTTTTACTTTTTTTTAATTTTTTAAACTTCATTTTGTATACAATTTTTTCGATATTTAAAATGTCCGTTATTTAAAAGAAATCATTTTGTAATACCCCCCCCGCAAAAAAATAAAAGAACCTGTCAAAAAAAGAAATCTGTTTTCGTGCAGAAAACAGCAAACGCTAATACCTCTGTAAAAGTCAGAAATGATTTGACATTCTATGAATATTATAATCAAGACCATTTTTCCAAATCAAAAACAAACCAATTTTTTTTCGATTTGAACAAGTGTCGCGTCTTAAGGATGTTTTAAAAAGATGCTAAAAATTATTTCTCAAAATATTTTCCCCTATTTTTTTCGGTAGTGCTGAATTGGTTGCACTTATTATTTTTTTGTTTGGGCCCTTTTTAATTTTGGTCCCCAAAGGCCCAAATGTCGTTGTCTTGAGATACCTCATTTTACTGATTTCTATCTCGAGGTCCTTGTACTTTTATTATTATTAATATTATTATTATTATTATTATTATTATTATTATTATTATTGACCGATAGAGCGGCAAGCTAACAAAGTGAAACGGAAAACAAAATACGCATTATGACACCCAGTCTGAGAAGGATCTACCGGACACATGCTTCACAGCCAAATATAAGAGGTGTCGATAAAAGCAAGGCATAAACTTGCAGATGAAGCCCATTAAGAATTAACTTCTGGTGGAGTAATCCAGTCCGTTCAGACTACATCCGACGGCGAATATCCCCAACTATCTAGAGATGACTTCCATGTCACATCGGGTCCCTTATCCAGCAAATTGAAAAGAAAAGAAAAAGTTTTCCCGATACGCAGCTATGAGGTTCCAAAACTACTCCCAATAATAAACAGTAACGTACGATGATCGATGATTGATTCGTTTTTTACGGTTTATCAGCCATTTGCAGGTTATTTAAAACCAGAAAATATTTGTACATTCTAAGAATTTTTCTTTTTGGAGATAAAAAAAAAATTTACTTATACACGTCTTACTAATTAACCCATAGTTGGACAGGGAAAAGTTGGATTCATGCCTTTCTCAAGTGTATCTGTGCATAAATGAATATAATGAAACTAACTGAAATTGCAACTCGGCTCTCCGATTAACAATTAATTTACACTACCCGCGCGTCCAGGCTTACAGCACCTGGTATTCCCAAGTGGTCACCCATCTCGATACTGACCAGGTTCGATGTTGCGTAACTTCGATGATCGTACGGGGACCGGTGTTTCAACCTGATATGTCTGTAAGGCAGTAATGTACATTGAGTCATTACCTATGGGATATGTCGAACTGGTTAAAGTCAGGCAACAGACAGGCAAATCGCTGGTATTGAACGAGATATTTACAGTATCGCATTCCAACTGGCGGCTTAAACAATAAGCCACCTGAATAAAATAGAGGTCGTATCAGCATGCTTGTTCTTTTCAACAATTCTATTGCCTGGATGGTTACTAATCTTCCTCTATTTTCCCAGTTCTTTCAGTCTTTTTTCTGAGGTTCTTGGGGATCATTCTCCAGTGCTCCGATATCGACCGGTGGTGTTCCTTATTCCAAAATTTCCTCTGTTCTCTAACAAGATCATGGTACTTATTTATCTTTCAAATCTCCTCTACAGTCGACCGGAAAACCGAAATTCATTATTTGGCATATTCTCTTTTTGTTTCCTGCTATCAGATCCTGACTTCAGTCCAGAATTGGGTGGTCTGCTTGTATCTGTGCATATAAAATCTATAGTGTTTCTATGAGAACATCGCTGCAACGAAATGCTAACAATGAAAAGCCAGCAAAAAAAATTCAAACTTACCGACAGATTAACCCTCACAGAATAACTAGTCGCTTGCACAGTTACCATTCGATTATCTTTCCTACCCAGCCATGCCTATTTTGGCATGCTTTCTGGGACAATTTACTATATTCGTGAATTATGGAGTTCATTGTTTCATCTTCATTTGTACCGTTAACATTTTTTGATCTCCAGTCTTCTACCTATATTCATGATTTCCTATGCATAACCTAGATATGGCACAAGGCCGAAAGTATGGCGTACCCAGTAAGAATCGAACTCACTATTCAGTCGTAATTGATCTAGCGAGGAAAAGCTGATAACTAGGTCAGCTGCTAAGAAAGTTGGTTCACTGTGTCGCGCTCGTAACATTTCTGGGATAACCTTGAGGTGGACCAGGTTTTTACTCCCTCCCCTACTTTACAGAAATCCTTATATGATTACTTGTGTAATGTGCGATATTTATTTTAAATACAGCTCTACAGTAAATGTTTGGTCAACACCGTCGCATACTCTAATTCTGTATCTCGTGTATGATGCGACCCTCTTAAAATTAACTTCAAAATTAGGTCTTCAAAAGTCACATGATGCGCCAGCGTATATGGTAGTCTTAATATTTCGCTCGACTTTAATCTTCAACTTAATAAATAATTTTATACTGTTAGTTCCCTAAATAACCTCCCCTATTGCATGTATCTACAGCTAACGCTACACCCGATCACACTGCCTCTAAACTTCTTTAAGTGATGGTAAGAGACAATAATAAAAAGAGTTGTTATCGTCTTAAGTTAATTTGTAATCTAACACTGGACCCCTAAACATGTACATCTCCTTGCCGATATTCTCTGGTTTAATCTGTTCGTATTTTCCTTTTTTAAATACGAATAAATACATTTATCAATCGCCCGGTCTATACGCCTTCCTCTTCCTTTGAACAGGAGTAGAGACTTATCCCTTGTTTTCTGTTTACGATGTCGTTGAGGTTTCCTTCTTCTGAAGCCTTAATAGAGGTGTCTGTCATGAAGTGTCGGTCATATGACTGACTGGTGGCTAAGTCTTTTCATACTGATGATAGTGAGCAGTTTTATGTTTGCTGCATTTCAACTGGTACCTGGACACTTAGGTAGCGCCTAGAGAGCCTGATCTAATCAACAGTCGTATAATGTCAAGGTTCTTACACTGTTATGTCGCGTATGCAAAGAACTTCCAGTGGGAAACCCTGAGGCCGCACTATGCCGCAGTCTGCTCCAATTCCGAGCCAGCACATATTACCTTAGATGACGGGCATCTGCTATTATACTTGATCTTTTCCACCCTTATAACATACCATGACCAAAAACAATAAATCAAGTAAAACTAAACCAGATCGCCAAAAAAAAAACGCATAAACCTGTCAACGTTTCTTTCTCCACGCGTGGTATTCGTATGAATTTCTGAAGTGCAGCATCGTCCCTCTTGGGACACTCTCCAGACATCATAATCCTGTCTGTAACTAATCTAAATTCTACCAATGAATTCTCTATTCTTAACTATATTCCTCTCTTTCGGAGGGACTCTAGTGTCCACATGCATGGTCACTATATTCGGGAAAATATACCACTGGCAAGAGAACTATCTCCTTGTGTCTCCGGACGGTTTTTACATGTAACTCTGACCTTCACTCCTAAACTCAGACAGCTATATCGTTTTCTTTCATCGTCCTCTTTCCTCATATGACTGTTGCCTGCTGGATAGACTTTCTGATAGTATAGATAAGCCACGCTCTTTACACACGTTTGCAATATCTTTGTATTCTACGATTTCAATGCCCATCATGTCCACTCTAATGTCACTGAACTCACTAGCATTCAAACTGATGTGTGGAAAGACGATCGCCTTTCTCTACACTAATGTGTAGTGTCCTGGGTAAAGACGATAAACTACGTCCGACAGGAAGGCCTCTGATCAGGAGGTTTTGAGGAGCGTGGAACCACCTCTTAATTGTTGGTGTTGCCAGGTCCACACTGACCCGGGGTGGTAGAACCCGTTAGGATCCCAGTTATGGGCAAATAGTTAACCGCAAAACTGGGGTGAAAACACTATGGAAGTTTAAAAATAAGTTTTAATAACAGAAATGCTTGCTTGTAAAACCAAACTGTTATTACCAGCAAAACATTTTTTTGAAAAAATTAGTATTAGCAATAAAAATAACCGATTGATGTGTTGATATGCTCGAAAACAAACCAAACCAAAGTGTAGAATACGGACTCTTCCATTAACTGCGATAGTATTTGCAAGCAAGATACAGGAGTTGAACAACAGTCCCACTAACTATGATATTTGTTAGTATTGACTATCAATCCATGTGATTAAACAGTTCTTTGACTAATCTTGTTCCAGTGTTTTCTATTTGGAATATTATTAAACCGAACTACGAGTGTATACTAGCATTATAACACAGACCTTGAAGTCCTCTTTTTAATCAATCATTCACTCAAATAGTGACATCCTCACCCGTTTCCCCAGTAATTCTGACAGACATACTACTCATTGATCTCTTCTTTACCCCCTCCGGAGATTTATGTCGTGCTCTTCAGTTTTGTCCTCTTGGCAATTCCGATCGTACGGTAGTCTCTAATAATATCTTTCCGCTCTCTCATCGGTCACAAATTTCCTATTAAAAGAACTTCTTTCTGTTATCAACGTATTGATTGGGACTCGTTTCGTGATTTTCTTCCCGTTATCCCTTGGATTGATATTTTTAATCATCCTGTTTAGAAATGTGTCACTAAGGTCACTTCCTAGGTGAAAGCCTCCATCGAAGATTTTCTTCCAGCAAGGCAATACCAGGTGAAACCATGATCACCTCTTTGGTTCTCACCTGCATGCTCAGCCGTTATAGACCACAGGAATCACTTCTTCCGGCTATACGTAGAGCGACATGTCCGACTGTAACTGTTGTAGTGAACCCTAGAAGAATGAGTTATACCTCCTCTCATAAGTACTAACTGCGAGACTTCCTAAGGTGGTCTCTCCTAGGTAAGCGTCCTGGGTAAGGCGATAAACTACGTCCAGTAGCAAGGCCTTTGATCAGGAGGTTTTGAAGAGCGTGGGACCACCTCTTAATTGCTGTTCTTCCAAGGTCCATCCTGACCCGGGATGGTTGCACCGGTTAGGGTCCCAACTATGGGCAAATATTGACCCCACAACCTGAATCAAAACACTATGAAAGTGTAAAAATAGGTTTTAATACCAGAAATACTATTTAAAAATTTAGAATCAGCAATAAATATTTGAAAAAAGAAAATATTACCAGAAATAAAAAATAACCCATTGACGTTAATATGCCACAAAACAAAACAAACAAAAATATTACCAGAAATAGATTTTTGAAGGAAAAGATATTACTAGAAATAGATTTTTGACAAGACAAAATATTAGCAGCAATAAAAATTTTGTCGGCATTAAATAACCCATTGAGGTCGATATGTACCTGTTAGGGTCCCAGCTATGGGTAAATAGTTTAATTATTACTAGCAATACTTTTTGAAAAAAAAATATTACCAGCAATACAATTTTGAAGGAAAAATATATCCCGAAATAGATTTTTGACAAAACAAAATATTGCCAGCAATAAAAAAAATTTTGTCGGCATTAAATAACCCATTGATGTTGATATGCCGTAAAACAAAATAAATCAAACCAAACCTAAGGCGGTTGTTGAGGCAGTTGTTGAGGCAGTCATTGGACAGTCGAGACGCCATGTAAATTGATTGTTCGGACGGATAATTCTATCTGCTTATTACTAACACTGTTGCTTTGTATATATATATATATATGTTATTTCAATACATTTGTTCAACCTACCTTCGTCTTCTGTGTATTTCTTTTCTGGCCCCTAAACAGGCCACAACAGTAACGTACGTCTCTTTGTCGCTGCTCGTAATAAGTGCAAGCGTGTCCCAAAGGAAGCAAAATCACTATTCGCTGAGACATTGTATATCCTCTTATAAGTTTAATTCTAGAGATTACTGGAGGCTCTGAAAAACTGAGCTGAACAATAGTAAATTCGCAGACCGTCATCTCTTCAATCAGTGTTCTGTCTAACTGAACACAGTTCCTTTATCATTCTTTCTTCACACCTCCTCTCTAATATCTTCTCATTCTCTTTCACTCCCTGTAACCCCCTGTGACCTAAGGGTATTATCGCCTTGCTTCGGGTGAAATGATAAAAAAGTACAAAGGGAAATAACAAAGATTTCCCTTTCACTGAAGAAGAAAGTAAACCCATCTTAACAACTGATCATTCTTTCTCACTTTATTATTATTATGTACTAGCTTAATATCGGGCGGCATTTAAGTTAGCTCACGCGGAGGGCAGCTAATTGTACCTTCTTCACAATAGATAGTGAGGAGTAGATGCGATAGGCAACAATAAACTAAAGAACTCAAAATTGATCGCTGCGTTTAAGTATTGTAT